TGCGGCGTGGTGAGGGCTCCTGAGGTTAACAGGCGGGTTTAGGGGGAGGACGCGGACCCGAACTGGGAAGGGGGCGTACCTGATGAATGCCAGTGACAGGACGTAGTCCGGGTTGACCGCTATCAGCCAATCACAGTCCTTACTGTGGGGGTAGGGGTGGGGGTAATTCGGTGAGAGGATGAAGCCAGAGGATCCAGTCAGGTTTCCCCCACAGGGAGCTGTGGAGAGCAACACACACATACACACACGCAGACACAGACACACACACACGTGTCATCACACGTGTAACATGAACTGAACGAGTCAGCAGGCAATAACATTCCAATAACGTGTGACACACGCAATAAGTATGAACATATGTGCTGTTGCGTGTTTAAAGAAATCAGACATATCCTGGGTGTTTCTTTTTAGTGAATGGGTCATACGGTACACAACAACAGTGACACACTGAAGGAATGCCCCCCCGCCCCCCCCCCAAAAAAAAATGTCTAAAAAAAGGACACACGTCAGCTGCCATACAGGCTCTAGGTGCTTCATGACACGTCACCGGCACCCCGTCATTAACACCTATTTGTCAGGGAGGGACGCGCTGAATTTTAATGACGCCGTCAAATGCGGTTTACATGTAGCTCACATGGGACACCCGTGGACAGAAGACGCCGTGAGCGGACCCCTGTCTCTCACTCGAGGACGGCCGGGCGAGGGAGGATTTTAATGACCAGGGCTTACGGGGAATGTGATGTCGCTGCTGATGTCCTCTCATACTTCTCGTACATACTGGCTAACAGGCTGTGGACCAGCTTTAGTCCTGATTCTGGTATTTATGCCCACATTTACATTTAGGCTGCGCTACAGTATGTCCTACATGTGGGGCCAAAGTGCCCACCCCCCCCACAGGCTGGCCAGGACCCGCTTAAGTCTGCCAGGTATGTAGCTAAAAACTATCACTAAGTGGCTCTTAGTGTCTGTCTAGCTGGTAATGGTAGTAATTTTACAGGGGGGGACAAGGGCATGAAATATTTGAAACAGCGGCAGCATCATTAATGGTGCCCCTGCACAGAAAGCGTGTTCGTTTTTCCAGCAATTTCCTGGCGCCGACTTGCCGCTCCAGGCCTCGTGCCGGATACTCGCCTATGCAGATGGGGGGGCTGGGCTGCCAGTAGTATCTGTTTTCCACCTGGATGCATGTGATGCGCATCTCGCCCTGCAGCTCGTAGCCGGGATCGCACTGGAATGTCACCGCGTCCCCTGGCTCCCGGCCGTCTCCGTTGCGGCTGCCGTTCATGGGCACCCCAGGGTCTCTGCATGCAGTTGCAACGGAACCTGTGGCCAGATAGTGGGGAGGGTGGGGGTTCAGCAAAGAGGCATATCATCCGGCTGCCACGGTCCGGCCTCCGCATCCTGATGAGACTGACCTGACAGTCAGCCCTTTCTTATTCCTTTAATTAAAAAAGAAAACTCAGAGATTCGTTAATTTGTGTTATTTCTTCCGATTAATGCAAACGACACTTGAGGACAGGATATGAGCACTGTGGCAAAAGGTGGCCAGTAACTTTAGCTAATCTTAATGAGTCACTTTACAATTAATTTGCCATCCAGACAGAAAAAAATTGCTTTTCATTGTTCCACAGATTAATCTTGACTTGAGTTTTTCAGCTAGGAGCCAATTCTTTTGGAAATTACAGCTAGTGGTATTAGAGTTGAAAAGAGATTAAGACTGAGCTCAGTAAACTGACTTTCAGGTTAGACCAGAATAGTTAAACTCGCTCCCTCCCTACAGTTACCAGAATCTGATCCACCATAATACATACAGTACTGTGCAAAAGTCTTAGGCAGGCAAAGGAAATACCTTTCCTCAGAGGCACCAGATATTTAAGCTGCACTACCAACCCAGTTAATAAATTTACTACTTAGTAAAATAACTCGACGAGGTACTGATTAGCCATATGAGGTCTGCTAGTGGACGAGTAAAAAAAAAAAATTGGACGGTCGCTGCAAATACTGGGTTTTGAAATGGCTAAGCTGACACACTTTCACAGACATAATATAATATAATTGTACACAGGATCATTTAAACACTATTTTCTTTGACTGTCTAAGACTTTGGAAAAGTGTTTCACATCAGAGGTGTATTAAAAAGGCTTACAGGTGCCTCATGTGGAGAAAGCCCCCTAAAACTTACATAAGCCTGCGTTATTAAAGACTCACTTGAGAACTCGATGGCAAACCCAGACTTGCTGATGTAAAAGTCTGTCTCGAACTGGATGGTGACTTGGTTGAGCGTGCTGTGGATGCTCTCGGGAAGCAGCGACCCGCTAACTTCCCTCAGGGACATCTCGTTTTCCGGCGGCCCGTCCCAGACCTTCAGGATGTCGTGGGAGGCTTCGGTGTCGAACGCCAAAAACTGCAAGCTGGCGAGGCAGGCCGGGGGTTACGGAACAGCAACCGGGCACAAGCGACGGGCGCTCGTTTACACCATTTACAACAACTGCAACAAGAAAGGCCTGTGTTTGCATAATTAGCGACATTAGTTATCGCACGCACGTAATGGGTCTTTCCAAGAGTCAGATGCAGGTTCTCGTGTCACCGCAAATCGCCACCTTGCCGTCATCATTAGCCTGCGATAATATGCAGTAACTGCTTTAATGACCACATCTGTTGCTAGAACAATCTAGGAGGTACCACACAGACTTTTTCCTCACGCACAGCCTATCATACTATATTTCAGCTTCGATTTCTCCAATGTGATAAGGAATAAAAATGTAGATGGCAATATTAAGTCAGTAATTTCAATTCCCACAGATCTTTCGTCCACTATACTCATGATAAGAGCGTAACGCTCCATCAGATTCCTGGAACGCAGGCCCTTCCTCAAAATATATCTGCCCGTTAAGATAAATTAGAATGAGGCTACGCTAAGGTCAAATATGCTTTTATTCCCTGTGGTTTGTGTACCGCTTGTTGTAAGATGAAACAAACTAGCCAAAGAATATAAAACAACATAATTACACCGTAACTAACATATTGTCGATTTTCCGAATTTTGATAAATCGTTATTTGCAGTTTTCTCTAAATTACAATACGAACCAGGGGTCCTCAGAAAGGTAATAAGGGGGAATATGATTACAAAACAAAGTGTGGAGGAGACGCTGGAGCCCTTCAAGGTTACTCCACTTCAGCTCTGGGAAATACTAATAAGCGAGTCTATGAGCTGCATTTCTGTCTCATCTTGTTATTACCCAGGGCTTTGGACAGGCTCCGTGCGGGGAAACAAAGCCGGCCGCCCAGTCCACGCAAGATAACACCTCCTCGAACCAATCACCTTGAAATCCCGGCTAGCCTTTGTCGTCCGAACATGCCGTCAAAACTCCAGACTCTCCCTGTTTTTTTGTTTTTTTTTTTATGCTTTTTTTATTGACAGTATCTTTAGAAAATCTCTCTCTTTTGTGGTTCCAAAGGGTTAGTTTCTGGCTGGCCTGGATGAACGACCAAAGGCATGAAACGGGGAACCGGGGGGCGGGTCAACCTAGGCCCATGCCCGGATGACTTTTGGTGAATCATTAAGAATGCAGGGATGAACAATCGTGAACAAAATTAAATAATTCAATGCAACTAATTTAATGCCATTTCATCTTTATTCAAAAAGCCTGAACTATATAAAATCTGACTTTTATAAGGCAAATGATACAGTGGGTTACTCACTGAGTGCTGCGATTTGAAATCTACCAATCAGCTGTATTTTTTAACACTGTATTTTATGTCCAGTCATCGGCAGCATTATCCAGATCTCAGCATGGATTGTGAAGCAAAACACTGTATTGTGAGGTTAGCAGGCTTTGACAGTGTGGTGCTGGCTGCTGTTAGCTACAGTACCAGTCAAAAATCTGGACACATTTGTCTCTATTTTAGCTGTTATTCACCTTATAGTAAAAGCCCTCAAGGCAGCGAAGTAAAACATATCAAATTTTGCAAAGACCAAGAAAAATGTTCAGCATCTCAAAATTTTCTCAAATTTTTAGTATCTTCAAAACAGCCCCCTTTTGCTGTCATTCTTCTGACCGCCTTTCAGATGTAGCCACCTGGAATGCTTCTCCAACAGTCCTGAAGGCGTTTTCATAAGGTCTGGGCACAAGTTGGCTACCTTGCTCTTACTCTTTGATCAAATTCATCCCAAACCAGGTTTTTAGGGTTTGGGTTGGGGGATTGTGGGGGCCAGGTCATCTGTCACAGCACTCCATGTCTTTCCATGCTAAGAAGATAATACTTCCTACAGTATATAACCTCGAGGTGTGCTTAGAATCATCATCATGTTGAAAAACAAATGATTTTTCAATAGGTGTTTCACGACTTTTGACTGGTACTGTTTGTTTAGTTGATTTATATGTAGATATGTGTTGTGCTTTTCTGGGTATATTACTGTTCTGTAGTTCAGTACATATGCCACTCACTCCTGCCCTGAAATGTTGCCCTCCCTTGTTCAGATGTTTTCCCTGACCCCTGAGCAAAATGAAGGTCACACCCCGAGTCACATGCCCGCACGATACCTGACGATGTTGCCCGAGTCAACCTCGATGACCCAGGTGCAGCGCAGGTTGTTGTCGTAGGGGAATGGGTATCCGGGAGACAGGATGCGGCCCGACGACTCGCCTTTGAATCTCCCGCCGCATTCAGCTAAGTTGGGAAAGACGGCAAAGTGTTAGGAGACTGCAGTCACAGATTTCTAGAAAGTTTCCCCATGTGGGTACCGAAAAAATTGTCAAAATAACAGGTTTTTATCACATTGTGGGAACATCAGAGGTGGATAGTTCAGGCCCAGAAAGTAAAAATCCAGACCAAGATTTAGTTTCAACCAACTAGTTCAGAATAAAGAGTCACAGTCACAGAGTACTCAACTGGTTGGTTGAAACTAAATCTTGGTCTGGATTTTTACTTGCTGGGCCTGAACTATCCACCCCTGGGACTCACACTCACATTACTGTAATACATGACTCCTGTACCTCCGCCTTGACTCCTCTAACACTTATAAAAGTTGTTAATAAACAAAAGTTTGGGGACATTTAATTTCTCTTTTTCTACAGCAAGGCAGCTTCGTTTCTGGGAGAAAAGGAGTTTACAGCACTTCACCATGAGGTATATTTTCCGCGGTTTGCTCTCCCGGTGGCGACGTATTCAGGGTGAGCGTAGTACCGCGTTTGAAAACAATGAGAGTCGTCGCAATGACTCGGCTCCTCCCACACACGGGCGATTTCACATTCCCGGCAACATGCTTAGCGCCATGACACGGCCCTTTCTTCCCCAGCCCCAAGCCGCCTAATGGGGCCCCTCCCCGGCCCCCGCGGGGCCCGCCATACCTTACATAACGAGCTCATCGCTATTGTACCTCCCATTCACTCCGTTATCTAACTTTAAATAGCTGTCCACAAAAATGTATGGTGCGGACTGGTGCCGGAACGCCGCCTTGTTAATTAATGACGCCGGGCTTGGCGCTCGCATTCATTCTGCTCATTTGCATAAACTATCTACATGACAAACAATGCTCAGTTCAATGATGCTTGAATAACAAAGTTCAGATAGTGTTTGATTAATCTGAGCATTATGGAGGTTCAGTACTGGAGAATTCCGCCCCTTAACGTTCTCCTAAACTAACATCTTGCCACATCCATTCTTCATTATTCCTGGTATCCAGCTGCTCATTATAGGTTACTGTCTGTATCTCCAGTGCTAACTTTGCCCAGCATACGTGTTGCTCTCAGATGTTCCACAACATGGCAGCTTGGTAGGGAAAAGTTTACCCTTGAAATAACTTCAGCTCATCTCTCCACCTGTCTGTCAGGAAGACACATATAAAGGTCTCCACGGGTATACTGATGTTTTTCTTTTTTTCCTCCAGCAGACTGAATATTTAAAATGTGTCTTTTCCTTCTCCTCCTTATACGTAACGGGGGACTGAAATGAAAACGCGAACATAAGTTGCTGATTTCGTATAAAAATTTCTCACAGTTTTATGACACACGTTTCCTCAGGCCCGGCACATGCCGCCACTTTCACATCTCAGCCGGTCGGCTTGAATAAAAAGTACAGCTAAATATTTTATCTGCAATAAAAGCCACGGAATGGGAGAGTTAAGGTAATGCTCCCTCTCTGTTTTTTTCTCACAAAGGTCATGCTAAATGACCTACGTTTATTTTAAATATGCCATAGTATGACTGCGACCACTAGAGTCTGAAATTTTATTATGGATATTTAGAATAAAACGAAATACTACTCAAATAATAAATAACCACAAAAAAAGGAAAAGGGAAAAATGATCAAACCTTACGTGAGCTTAAGTAACAATGCAACTTAACGATTGCAACATCACAAAAAAATCTTGTCTCTGATTATGAACACTGTCACACTTTTATAAAATTGTTGTGACATGAACACAATTTAATGTTTATACAAGAGCCTTACACAAACCCTTACTTTAAGCGGAACAAATAAAGTTTGAGTGGCAAATAAAAATGCGGAAACCAATCTGGGCTTGTTCTGGAAATTTTTTTACGATTTGCATAAAGATGATTTCGACCAATCAGTAAGGAGCAGTGGATCTACCTGAAAGAACAGCACTTTTTAAAACATGGGCAGACATAGAAATTAAGATTGGGGAAAAAATAATCATACTGATGAGTACCATAAATCAGTAATTCCCAAAGTGGGGGATGTGAGACACTGGTGGGCAGTTGCGTGATGATTTCTAGAATATGCGAATAAATTTTTTTAAAGTTTAAAAACACCTTAGTAGGACCTGCTACAAACAAGTTTCTTTTTCTTAATGAATAAAATATGCGTCACTTTTTAGGCGAACAAGATACCACGAATTTTGCTAATCAATAAGAAACAGGTAAGGAATGCCTCATGCATTTTGTGTAAGGACCAGCTATCCGAAAGATAAAACAATTCACAAAAACATTTCGTTGTAATAAATGTTAAATCATACTGCAGGTATGAGTAACCGATATACAAAGCAGATTAAGATCAGTGACAGCACGTGTTGACATTTATTTGACCAATCTTTTGTTATTTTCTGGGCTGAGATCCCGTCCAAAAATATGAACACACAAAGGCTGTCGTAAACTTATTTGCTACCATTTAACTTAAGGGGGACACGTTATTTAGTTACTGAGTTACTACTGAAGAACAAATCATGAACTATTACAGTTCCTGCATGAAATACATGAACCATCATGGCTGATTACTGGTGAACGAACATGTCATCAGTACGTAACACTTAGTTTCTGGTTAATTAATGCATTAAGTAAGCATGTACACTGTTACATTATTTGTAGCCTGTTAAGTAAAGTGTTACCAGTTACTTTAGTGCTGCATAGTGCACAGATTGGGCCTAACTGTGGATGACGGTCTCCCATGAGCTCCCACCACAGTGTCCACGCATTTCATTAGGTAAGTTTGATGTAACACTAAGTAAACTATGTAACCCTAAATATAACATTAGGTAACTTAGACGTAACACTAGGTCTATATAAAATTGTGTACTTGCTATTGTCAAATTGTTGTGTTCTTTTGTGTTATCGAAGTGATGTGCCCAAATATGAATAGGCCTTTTAGTGCGTGCTGCCGTTTGCATGCTTCTGACACCTAGTGGGGGTCGTGATTCTCTGGTACTGTTTCTTTGGGGGTCGGCGGCTGAACAGCTTGAGAATCCATGCCATAACTAAGAAAAGTAAGAAAATGCCTAAGCTGAATATGCATGACAGTATAAATTTAGGCCTGGATTTTAAAACGAGTGTTTGACAGCCATGAAAGCACCAAGAAGGGGCCTCTTCACAGGACAGAGAGGTGGTAAGGAGCGGGTATCACTGCTCCGTGACATACGTACAGGCAGAGCCATTGGCCCATCGGCCCATCGGCGTATGTGTATCTGAGCATGATACTGTCCAGCCTTCACTGCTACCCATCTGATAGGCTCCTCTTTTATACTCTGGCTTGGCATCAGCATATTTTATTTTTTTACCGAAAATTAATGTTGGGTAGTGAAGCGTTGATTTTAATATTAAAATACAGAGCGGTGCATAAATAATCTGGACAGCAGCTGCCACTTTTTCTTTCCAAACCTGGATTCGGGATATCTGCCCGACTTTGGGGTCGGAACAGAGATCGATATTCCTTCTGACTGGTAATTAAGAGCTGAGCTGGAAATGGGAGGAACTCCCGTTCCTCAAAACCAGAACATGGAAGCTCCATTAACCAAGGCCTCCACAGCCAAACAGAGAAACGATGCAGCTGAATTAACAATGTCTCATTATTGTAGAATAAGGCCTTGGGACTGTGCCCTCCTGGGTG